AATCTAGTTACAGACAAGTAAAGGCCAAATTATAAATTGGATAAAAATATCTGCAAAACGCATAGAGGACCACAATTTACAAGAAAAAATTTGTTGCAGAATTATAAGACACGAGTACAGAAGACATAAGTAAATTTTACAGAAATCAGGTTTGAGATAACATCCAATTCTCAAACCCATATATAGCATACAAATGTACAAAATTATACTTTCCTGCTCTTTTTTCCCAAGTAAGAAAAAATATCTTACCTGCCCTGATTAAATTATTTAAACGCTTCATTGACGTAATCTCAGCGAAATAACATATATCATAAAGAAAACCTCTATACTAGAAGTCAATTCTAATGAAATAATAATAGAATTACAGAATGAACACCACCCAGTTAACAAGAAGAGCCCCTCCCAAACCCCAAAAATATAAAAATTAAATCAAAATTTTAAATACAATCAATGAACTACGCTAAGGTAAATCAACCGATATTTACAATTCTGCATTAGAGTTTAAGAAAAAGGTCATAACATACATCTTTATAGAGTTCAAAGGAGGAAGGAAAAACCTCGGGCATTGAGATCGTTGCGCTGGGCTTCAAGACGCTGAAGATCGTGGTCTTTCTGGCGGACTAGGAGCTGCAGATCCTGTATGCGTTGCTGATAGTACTGCCGAAGCCCTTCTCCGCCTCCTCCGGTCGCGCTTTGCTGGTGTTGGTGCGTCTCTTCCTCCGCCTGCCGAGATTCTATCGCCGCCGTCGCCATTGGGATCTATCGGAGGACACTAGATTTCGTCCGAGTCTAGTTTTTATTGGACGCGTATATGTTCTTTTAATTTCATGTATTCCTTGACACCGCCTTCATTATTTTTTTTAATTTATTTATTTAAACAGCCCTGGAAGAATTAAAATCAAATTTTTAATAAAATTTAATAAAATTTGATTAAATGTATCGTTGAAAAGCTGTTGATGTCATTTCATATATACTTAAAATTAATTGTTAACTTGACCTTGAATTTTAATTCTTACCAAATTGGGCTAAATTTTATTCCTAGTTCAATGAATTTTTATTCATTTTTGTAGAATTTTTATAAAATTTATGAAAGTTTTCATAGTCTCTATAGAATCTTATAAAATTAGTTAACTTTTAAAAACTATTATTTTAGAAAAATGTAATATTGAGATAAGAGAGACATCGAATAAATGGTACAATTGGAGGATGGGACTTTATACACAATAGTTTTTCAAAGTCCTCCTCAACAATTAGTCATGTCTCAATACAGGGTTTAACTGTACATGCATAATATGAGTGAATTTGGGGGCCTTTTTTTTTGTTGAAATTGGAGATGAATAACTAGGGCCTTATAGAAGTTTATAGGGTAGTTGTGAAAGTCGCGTTTCACATATGGCGATTTTGGTGAATTGGATGATTTGATCGATTATAATTTTCTTTAACAAACATAACTTACAACATGGTATTTTCCGTGCGGCAAGCCATCAAATAAGTGAACAGAATCTGATGGATAATGGATTAAATGCAAAGTCTTAAAGATGAGTGACCATTGGAAAGGAGATTAAAGTTTGATGAGCAAATCATGATTATAGTATAAGTTGCGTGAGTGATGAAACTTTGTAATTGGATTATTTAGTTGAGCTGTAATTTTTTTAACAATCGTAACTTGTAACGTGAGATTTCCTTATGACATGTGAGCAATAAAGTAACAGAATCTTATGGATGATGGATAGAATGTAATATCTCGAATATAGGAATGTCAAACGAGCCGAGTGACTAGTCGGCTACGAGCCCTCATTCGACTCACCCATAGGCAAGCCCACGAGCCCTGGCTCGTGGCTCGTCATTACAGTGACCAAAACGACCACTTTTTTTAAAAAAGTGAACATAAAAAAATGACCATTTTGGTCACTGTATATAAGTTTAGTGACCGTTTGTGAATGGTCACTGAACTTATAAAAGTGTTCGTTTCGGCCACTTCATTTTATTTTATTTTTTCCTTCTATAATTTACTGCACTTAGAAATACCACAAGTCATTTTAAATTTTTTTACACACTAACAACAATTCTCACTCTCCTCTACATTCTACAATCTAATACATTCATTTCTACCTTCAATTTCAATTATTCAATCATTCAATATCAATTATCACACTATAAATTTCCAATTACGATCTTATACATAAACACTCTTTAAATTCTTGATTTCTTTCCATACTATTTATTTACTTACTCCGTTACTTAATAGTTATTGTACAGTCCATACCATGCAAATTACAATACATATTTTATACATTTCATCATAATTCACAAAATGGATCCACATTCATTTGTTGAGAGCTTGTTCGGTATCAGAGGCAAATCACCTATGACGCCTCAAAGTCAATTTTAGAATGAATTTGTCGATTTCAATGAAATACCCATTCTCGAAAATGTTTTAGATTTGGATGTCACCAAAGTAGTAATCTAATTAATTTTGATGACGTTGATGTTCCCAAGGCGAAACAAGAAGAATTAGATATTCTTGATGCAAGAAGGAATCACAAGGGAGAACGGACAAAATGTTGGGATCGCTTTAAGTTGATTCCAACGGGTCGTATGGTCAATAGAATCGCAAAGTCTAAAGCAGTATATAAATACTGTCAACAATGATTGGCATAGTAAAAGGGTATTGGTACCATCCACCTCAACCAACACTACACAGCATGTGCGGCCAACACATGGACATTTTAGTGCCACTCAAACACAATTACAATTTGGTAGTCTGATCGTCAATTTTGCTTCTATGACACGTTGCACATAGATGCATTCAGAGGAGAAAGCTCGAACGGAAATGATGAAATTCATTGTCGGTTATAAGTTGCCTTAAGTAATAGCGGACAACCACAATTTCTTCTCCTGCATGAAAAAATATCTTTAATCGAGGTATGTCAGGATAAGTAGAAACACTTTTTATTCCGATACAATATAATATTTCCTTAATACAAAAAAATAATTGATTATCCATTTGCAAAAATGCGGGGTGTCATATATCTTTAACTTCGAATTTATGGAAAGGGATTAATAAAAAAATGTTATATAGCTACAACTGCACATTAAATAAACCCACTTTAGTGCATGCATAAAAAATGATTGCTTTTAAAATTATTAAACTCTCTCACAATGCTAGTAATATATTTAACTTTATTATGAACATTATTAGAGAATATCACTACGAGAATAAAAGTCGTTCTTTTGACATTTGACAACACTAGTGTTAATAAGCCTGTTGCTATAAATTGCGTATGTATTGCAGCCTGATTTCGGTGGTTATTTATTTCATGTTCATTGTATGCGTCATATTTTTAATTAATTGTCCAAGATGGTCCGAAACATATTAAGAATGAAATTCAAAGAAATTGAGATGCATTTTCTTTCACAATCATTTGTATAGGTACACTATTATATGCTCTAATTACAGAATTTTCCAATTTAGTTATAATACTAGGTCTGTCTTGTGATTTATAATTATTTAACTCTAATATTAATCATCTATCGCTTGCTAATGGTAAATTAGATCCTTCTTCCGTTTGTCTTTTTCCTAAGCTTTTATATTTTTTATCAATTCATTCAAAGTCTCTTCTAGGGGAAAATGATATTTATCTCCTATATCGTATTTGGTATTCATGGGTTCTTTTCTTTTTCCAAATTATTGATCTATTTCTATTTTAGCTCTCTCGCTAGTTTTTTCATCTTGATTTCTATGTCTACTTGATCTTTTTCTATTAAATCTAGAGATATAAATTGATCTTTATGTGTACAGGAAACATATCTTTCTCCATAATGCTGGTATATTAAAAATTTGCTAAATAATTTTTCTTTTTTATATATGTCTAAAGCTTTTACTATTTTTAGTTTATTCTATCTAAACATTTCTATTTGTTCTTCTATATCTATTAGAGATTCTAGTCTTGTTTCGGATTCTGTTTTTCTACTTAAAGTGCGTTTGGTTGGCATGAAAAATATCTCATAGAAAAGAAATTTTTTTCCATATTTTGTAGAAAATAAAAATCACCTCTACCCTTCCTTAAAAACAAGGAAAATTAGGCATATTTTCAAAAGTTAGAAAATATTTTCCATGAAAAAAAATAGTAATCAAACACTCTAAGTAGGAATTTGGGTGGAAAACTGATATTTTTCATGGAAAATAAATGTAATGAAACACACCTTAATATGCTTAATAAAGTATTACCTACTAATTTAATACTACTGGCTACGATTTGTTTTCTTTTATCCATTATGTATAGATCCATTTAGTTTTCATAAATCTACTAAGTTCTTTAGTTTTACTTAAATCTAATTTTTCTAGTTTAGTTATTATATTATCTAAATCTTGTTTATTATCTATCGACTTTTCTTTTTCTAAAGTTTTAACTACGCTTTCCAAATTTTCTAAGTTAGGACTAGATTCTGTTTCTCCTATATTATTAGATTTCTTTTTAGTATTTTGGTATTTTGATTTTTAATATATTCTAGATTAGTTTCTAAAATCTTTATATTTATATTTATATTTTCTGATAAGATTTCTACTATTTTATTTGAATTGTTCCGTTCTAAATTTTCTCCTAAATTTACAAGTAAGTCTACAATACTATTTAATTGTTTATTTTCACTATGTAAAGTATATCTGAACTTATTATCACTATGTAAAAGTTTCTTACGGAGTACATATAAATGCCATACAAAGTCATGTCATAAATATGACGTTTTTTTACTTGTTATGGCATGCAATTGCATGCCATATGTACTTACCTCCTTTTACGACATACAAAGCATACCGTAAAAAAATGGAATGAACACCATCAATTGACTTCTTACAGCTTGCATATGCATGCCATAAAAAGATGTCACCTTTTAAGGCATACGTGTGCATGCAATGAAAAAGATGTATCTTTTCACATCCATATGCACATCCTAAATGCCAATTTAGTTTTTTTTTTTTAATCAGCAAAAATATAATATTTAAATAACAAAATTATATACATTAACACACATCTAATCATGTTTTACATAATTTCAATAAACCAAAATATTGACTACAATTTAATACAATAAAAATGTAGAGAGTATCTAAATAATTCTAAGAAGCTAAGGACATGGATGAAGAAGTTGTTGCTCCACTATATATTCTTCCAAACAGTTCCGTCTCAGAGTCGTCACTGGAGTCTTTAGATTTAAAGTTTTTCCCATCTGATTTGCACGTTCTTCCCTCTTGTGATTTCTTCCTTTTGTCCACATATTACCGAAATTTTCTTGAGCCAGTGCCTCATTTTTTCTATGGGAAACCACACCTAGCATGTCTCTCCATTCTCCACCAGAGTGGTATTGTTGCAACGCGCTTCCCTCACAATTGTTTGCTTCTGGTAAAGAACTCCAAAACTGAAGCAGGAATCTCAACAACACTTTTAGACCGATCCTTCTTCATACCTACAAATTCAACACCTTGTATGTAAAAATTGAGAAAACTCGGATGATATCTTTGACAATCCATTTGAATTTGATTGGGACGTCACATGTATCTCCTTACTTTCTTCATTAGTCTTTCTTCTTGAAATAACTAGAAATTCAATCCTTTCATTAATAAACCTGACACCAAATTTGGTAATATATAAAGAACATAAACACGATAGTACATAAAAAACATAGTGAAATGTATCGTTACCTTAGGATAGCTAAATTTAACATTAGTCTCAGGCAAGTAGTTCCCGAATAATATAACAAAATAAGGAGCATTGCAGATCCTCAGGTTTGAATGTAAACATAATGAGGCTAATCATAACATGCTGGAGAACCTAACAAGCATTCTAAACATAGAATTGTCAACTACAGAAACCTTGTTTCATTAAGAAGCTGTAAATCATGGAGTGTAAGGAAGAGGACTTAAAATAAAAATAACCTTGTGCTCAATTTCAATAGAAATAAATTGGGATACAATTTTTTCTCTGCATCCAGCACAAATTTTAATTAGATATCTCTCTCTTTAATGGTTAAAACTCTTGATTATTGTTTCTCAATCTTTGTCTTAGCTGTGCAAAAATGCTCTAGCTGACTACATACTTCATTAATAATATCATTGCTCTACACCAAGCAAAGATACTTTCTATTAAGTACCACCTATGAAAAAAATATTCAAAGTGGAAACATCTTGGGACAAGGACTTCAGAATAGTAGTGACAAGCTACATTTGTTGTAATGAGTGAACTATGAAATTCTGACCCTTCAAGCAAATATGCTTTAGATCTTTCCCTGCAAACATTTATCCAGAATGTCTAATCTTTTCCAGCAAAACATTTACACAAATCTTTTCAAGCAATCTCCACCTTCAAGGATAGACCACATTCTGAGGAACCTTCACCGAATTGTAAGAGAACTATGAAACTCAGATGATACTCTCTGAGCAACTTGAGGAAAGAAAAATAATACCTCTCATTTAGTTGATCTCTATGCAACTTCGCTTGACATGCTTTTGATCCAGATGCATTGCATGACTTGGACTTTAAACTGTAGAACACAATTTAAATTCTTTACCCAGAATGCTTAAAAGTAACAAAAATAATATTTTATTACACAAAAAGAGAAACCTCTGACCCAATTTCACAATTTGTATACTGAAAATGAAGAGGCCCAAAAAAACAAAATGCGTAAGATTGAAGAAAAAAGAGGGATATTCTATCCATTAGCACATTCAAGAACAAAAACACTCTCTTTAGCTCCAAAATAATTAAGGAAACTTATGGGAGGAAACACCAAACAAACCAAATAGACAGAAATATTAGCTGAATTAAATTTCTTAAGACAATCTACTATAACGAACGTGTGATTTACGTGTATCTTTATTGGGTTTTGCCCTTTTACTATAACGCAATGTGTGTTTGATTTTTACTATAATTTGTGTAGGTTTCTAGTTGTTATCTGATTCGATAATGGAGAGATTTACTATGTTTTTTTCTTTTTGGCTTACACTAATCAGTATAATAGTAGTCATTATCTTATTTTAGAACATCAGATTGTTATTCATATTAGCACTTAATCTGGCTACTAAATCCGCCTCAATTTACAAACACGTATCTAGAATCAAATATTGATTCACGATAACGTTAACTAAACAAATAATATGAATAAAACCTAAAAATCAAGAAATGTCTAAAAATTATTCACCGCATATCAAAAAAAACAATCATAGATTATTCAATTGAAGTTCTAAAATAGCAATGGAAAACACACGAACCCTTACAAAACCATTGAATATAAATACGCTTCTCACTGTGACTACAAAAAAAAATCAAAACAAATGATTAATATCATAAAAATTCACAGAGTTTTTCACAAACGAGAATAGAGAGAGAGGAAAATGGTGAGCATATAGGGTCCCAGACCCAAGACAAAACAATAACTGTAGGGCGACTTACTGGAGGTAGAAATGAGAAGAGATAGGCCGGCGAGAGTAAAAATTAGTAGCAGTCGACAATCAGTGATTGAACAATGGGAGAGGGAATAGAGCGGTGCCCAATCATCGATTGAACCAGCCTCTGATTGACTGGATGGTTGATTAAATTGGGAAAGGGGAAGGCAATCGAAGGAGGAAATGAGAAGTTGGACAAAAAAGAGCAGAAGGGGAGGAAAGAAAACAAATGAAAACACGAGAGAGATGGAAAAGAAATAAAATAATATTACACGTAAATCAAAAAAATTTTCTTTTTTTTCAACCACTTATTTTTCAAAAAAATATTATTCTACCCATTAATTTTTCCACGTAATGAAGGTCAAACAGGGGCTAACACACATAGTAAATAGTTCATTTTAAAACAAAAAAAAAAATTAAAAATGACAAATATTTTTTTATCAACTTATACGACATGCTTGAGAATTATGTCGTAAATATTAAGATTTTACGACGTGTCCAACATGCATACCTTAAATACTTTAAGTACGGCACATATTTAATGCATGCTGTAAAAAATCTATTTTTACAGATGCGCCTTATATGTGTGCCGTAAATAAATGTTGTAAAAATGATACAATAATATATGGTTGTTAGCGTGCATTGAAAGTCGTGTACACACATTATCGAAGTGCCATTGAACTATGAAATGAAATTCACAATCTTTAATTTGGACTGACACTGCAGTCACTTGCGGCAAATAGGCAGTTGCGATCGCAAAAAGTATAACTGCAACCAAAACCCTTGTTTTTAGCTTTCGATGCAGCTTTAGTCGTTTTTTGAACACTTTTGGTCCGTCCATCTCTAATCACCCAAATTCATTTTTACTACAAATTTCTTTTAGATTGATCCTTCATATTCTAAACTTTTGGTGAAATTTCAATAATAAAAAATGGAGTTACAAAATGAATCAAAAGATAACGAAATGGGACGGACTAAGAGGCAGATATCTTGCTCTCTTTAAGGGGGTTCAAGCCTTCTATGATTGACAAAGCCTAAAACACAGTGCGGCAGAATTTCTTTATAACTTGTTCCCTCCAAGATACAACAACTTGATTATTTGTGGTATGGCTCAAACAAACTTTGCATAAGTAGTTGAGCTCAAAGTTTCACTAAGAGCCTATTGGGGAGTGATTTTGAGAATTGATTTTTTGATCGTTAGGAGAAAAGTGGGGTCCACCTGTGAGAGAAAAAGTCAAATATAACGGCAGAATAGTAAAATAATAGTAAAAAAATCAATTTTTGGAGGAAAAAATCACTCCCAAACAGGTTCTAAAAGAAACACCCTTCTTTGCTCAATAATCTCTCAAGAAAAATGAGTGAGAATATAAGAGAAAGTCAAAAGAATTTTGATTGTTGTGGTGTGTTGATGAATGACCAAGAAATGGTCCTATTTATAGGTAAAAATAGGCCACCCAAAATAAAAAAGTTGTCATAAGCACATGAATCTTTTCACCTTTCATTTTCCAAGTATCAAACCTCTCCACTTTCCTAACTTCCAAATCCTACAAATTTATTAAAGAAAAATGTAACGAATGAATTTTTAATATTGAAATGCACCAACACAGACTCTTCTACTTTAGTTCTTAAACTTTTATTTTCCTTCAAACTTGATCCTTCAAAGCTTAGAGAAAGTTTAAGTTGGTCCCTAAAGTTCTTCAAAAGCCAAATTTGGTCCTAGGCACTTGCAAGTTAGTTTGATTAGCACTTTCAGAGCTTCTAATAAAGACTAAGCTTCTTGGCAGCTCTCCAAATCTCTCTTAAAGCTCCAATAAAGTGCTAATTCACATCCTTTTATGGTTATTTTACCTCTAAGTCAGGATTTTCGCCTATAAAAATAATACATATTGTTTCGCGCGGGTTAGTCACTAACAATTAAAAAGGGATCAGATGATTGTGTAAGGGACAAACCTCTTGAGACAAAGTCCCCAAAAAGGGGTGTTTTTATTGGCGATGACTTTACAATTGAAAAATAAAAACAGAATGCCTCTAAGGGACACAAGCACACGAGTTACTGTAAAAGAAGTGTTTAAATCTAAACTAAGAAATTGAAAGTTACATATTCTCTGTTTGAGAGTGTTTGATTCGAGGTCTTTTACTCTATATCTTTTCTTCCTTTTATACTTCCTGGATGATCTCTTCATGATCAACCACTTAAAAACTGCTTGATCGCTCTATAACTACCCACGTTCCTTATAGTGGCCAACTTGTCATAAAACTGCTTCTCTAACTGCTGCCATTACTTTTGTCGTTCAACTGTCTTCAATTGAATTCCTTGAATCGTGGGACGTGGTAGGACTACCCAATAACTGCTTTATTAACTGCACTTTTGGGTAACCATAACATCTTATGTTTGCTAAGATGCTGGGCGACTCGAATGTTTGAACGAAAGCAGGGTCACAGCTCTGGGCGACTGCATGGCAATTCATTCGCTCAAATCTTAGGCGACTTGCAACCTTGGGCGATGGTATTACCGTGTTCATGGGCTTCTCTATTTGGGCCTTTATCCTGCATTGCCTGATTGATTCGTTCTTTGGGCTATTTATTTTTTGGGGATCTTCCAGTTGGGCTTCATTCCTTGGGCTATTCGACTTGGGCTGAACTTTTTGCGTGTCAACATTACCCCCCAATATGGCAGAATTAATACCAATTATTAATTTTTGCTATATTCACTTTGTGTTTCTGATTACGCCCAAAGAATAACGCGGTGATTGTAGTACAACTTTGGAGTGTCGTATCCACAGGGAGATGAAAAAATTCTCAAAAGATCAAACAAACTAGGGTTTTCGTAATTAAATGTGGGAATGATTTGTCACTTGAAATAAAAATTAATTATCAATATGCGAATTAGTGAAGAGTCGGAGTTCCCCCATTGGATTAGATCAATCAACATCAATAATTCATGTATTTTTACTCAATTAGAGGTTTTCTTCCCAACTCTCTAATTGGAAGATTTAACAGTGAAGTCCAATTTTATTCCAATTATGTTTCTAGAATCTAGATTTTCTATAACACATTCGCACATTTTTATTGGAACAAGATCAAAAATCGACCATTTACGTCAGGTATAAGGCAGTAATCAATCCGCCAATAAAGTGATATTAAGATTAAAATTCAACAATTATTTAATTCATTCGATAGAAAGAGCGTGTCTAGATCTATAAAGGATTTGATAAAAGTTAAAATAATCTCAACCATAAGTAATTTAAATTGAAACTCAACAAATAGTTTAATTTAACAATGGAAAAAGCATGACTGAATCCATGAGAAATTTATTAAAAGTTAAACAAATTTCAATACTAATTCATAACGAGAAAATCCAAATCTAGAAATTATTAAGCAAAGAGAGTTCGAATTACATGAAATTATGACGTGAAATCTCCAAATCCAATGAGTTCCTTCGTTGCTTCACCGAGTTCCTTAGTTTTCCATGGATTTTCTTGAGCACCAAGATGAAAGAAATAGGTCTGGAAGCGTCCCCCTTTGTTCTGGATGGTTTTGGGCATTTATATCCCGTGAAAATTAGGTTACAATAATTATTTTAGAAAAATGTAATATTGAGATAAGAGAGACATCGAATAAATGGTACAATTGGAGGATGGGACTTTATACACAATAGTTTTTCAAAGTCCTCCTCAACAATTAGTCATGTCTCAATACAGGGTTTAACTGTACATGCATAATATGAGTGAATTTGGGGGCCTTTTTTTTTGTTGAAATTGGAGATGAATAACTAGGGCCTTATAGAAGTTTATAGGGTAGTTGTGAAAGTCGCGTTTCACATATGGCGATTTTGGTGAATTGGATGATTTGATCGATTATAATTTTCTTTAACAAACATAACTTACAACATGGTATTTTCCGTGCGGCAAGCCATCAAATAAGTGAACAGAATCTGATGGATAATGGATTAAATGCAAAGTCTTAAAGATGAGTGACCATTGGAAAGGAGATTAAAGTTTGATGAGCAAATCATGATTATAGTATAAGTTGCGTGAGTGATGAAACTTTGTAATTGGATTATTTAGTTGAGCTGTAATTTTTTTAACAATCGTAACTTGTAACGTGAGATTTCCTTATGACATGTGAGCAATAAAGTAACAGAATCTTATGGATGATGGATAGAATGTAATATCTCGAATATAGGAATGTCAAACGAGCCGAGTGACTAGTCGGCTACGAGCCCTCATTCGACTCACCCATAGGCAAGCCCACGAGCCCTGGCTCGTGGCTCGTCATTACAGTGACCAAAACGACCACTTTTTTTTAAAAAGTGAACATAAAAAATGACCATTTTGGTCACTGTATATAAGTTTAGTGACCGTTTGTGAATGGTCACTGAACTTATAAAAGTGTTCGTTTCGGCCACTTCATTTTATTTTATTTTTTCCTTCTATAATTTACTGCACTTAGAAATACCACAAGTCATTTTAAATTTTTTTACACACTAACAACAATTCTCACTCTCCTCTACATTCTACAATCTAATACATTCATTTCTACCTTCAATTTCAATTATTCAATTATTCAATATCAATTATCACACTATAAATTTCCAATTACGATCGTATACATAAACACTCTTTAAATTCTTGATTTCTTTCCATACTATTTATTTACTTACTCCGTTACTTAATAGTTATTGTACAGTCCATACCATGCAAATTACAATACATATTTTATACATTTCATCATAATTCACAAAATGGATTCACATTCATTTGTTGAGAGCTTGTTCGGTATCAGAGGCAAATCACCTATGACGCCTCAAAGTCAATTTTAGAATGAATTTGTCGATTTCAATGAAATACCCATTCTCGAAAATGTTTTAGATTTGGATGTCACCAAAGTAGTAATCTAATTAATTTTGATGACGTTGATGTTCCCAAGGCGAAACAAGAAGAATTAGATATTCTTGATGCAAGAAGGAATCACAAGGGAGAACGGGCAAAATGTTGGGATCGCTTTAAGTTGATTCCAACGGGTCGTATGGTCAATAGAATCGCAAAGTCTAAAGCAGTATATAAATACTGTCAACAATGATTGGCATAGTAAAAGGGTATTGGTACCATCCACCTCAACCAACACTACACAGCATGTGCGGCCAACACATGGACATTTTAGTGCCACTCAAACACAATTACAATTTGGTAGTCTGATCGTCAATTTTGCTTCTATGACACGTTGCACATAGATGCATTCAGAGGAG